CCCTATCAGGTGGAGGCCATCGCTATTTGGTGGAGGCCATTGCTATTGTAGGTGGAAGTGGTGAAGTTCCCTCTGCTATGTTGCACCCAGCTGCTTGTTGCAGGCGGCCCACAAGGAGACGATTGGCGCCGGTGTTCGGGTGTGTGGTGATCCGGGATGTGGGTCAAAACACCCATAACCCTAGTCGATCCCTAAAATGAACAGGTTCCTCCATGAGGGATGTGAAGCGTGTGAGGTGCCACCACCCGCACCAAGATGCACCAATGTAGTGGCTGAGAACGCTTTCCATGTGGATTTGGTCACCTTGATCCACTGAAGGGTCTTCACATGTCTTCGCTCAATTTCATCACAAGTGCTGTGACCCTGGGACCCTTCACTCTATGACATCCTTTGACGTTCAAAGGTCTTTGTGCATCTTTTTGCATGCATGTCTAAGACGGTGGCTCGCCGCGAACACCCCCACATCCACACGAGTGGGCGAACGCTTGACGAGGCTTCGTTCTCCCCTGGTGAGGATCAATTTGTCTTCTACCGCGGACCCAGACGTGGGAAGGCCATGACCTGCGCGCTGTCGAGGTCATCAGGCGTTTTCAGAGAAATCCTGCACGTCAGAAAACTGGACCTAGGGTTTCACCGGAAGCTCCGACTCACGAACAGATGGAAGGCGGACATGATCGAACATGTATGACTTAGAAGAGCAGCTTGGAACAAGAAGTGGTCATTCTCGTTCATTTTCGCATTTCACATGATGGACTCAGAGGCTGAACTGGGGCAGGATCCTCCGGCATTCCACCTCAAAACAGCTTGAGGATCGATGCACCAGGACTTGGAGAAGGTCACAGCTTGTGCCTGTGATGCCTATGATCTCATTGACATAATCAGCCTTTGGTGATACCTGCACTAGTGTGATCTGCTGTCCGTTCCCCCCCACACAAGTGCATTCCGTCTAGAAAAAACCCGTACAGCTCTTGGTGATGTCAACATCCTGTAGAAGCAACTGGTCCAACTTGTCCACCAATCTCGGCCAACTGCACGAAACATCCGCGACTGAGTAAATATATATATATATACAAATATATAATATATATATACATTGTAATATAGTATATATTATATACATACTATATAGGTGTGTATTGAACATTGAACATTGAAAATTAATAAAAGGTCCCGGAGACCCCCTTGTGGATGGGTTTAGTATGAATTTAATTGTCCATTTTCGCTTTTCGGCATGGGGGGTTCTTTCAGAGCGATCGGGACTGGTGCGGCGAATTCTTTGTGGCACCGGGGGTCGTTTCGGGCTTCGTCGGTGACGTGGATCCTCCTTTCAGGTGTTGAGGACCCTTTCAGGAGTGGCACAAGCAAAAGCAAACCATGCAAAACATGGCACAAGCGAAGCCGCACTTTGTGGGTTCTTGGTGGTTCTTGGTGGGCATCCCTTTTCAAAAAAGGCTGGTGAACCAGGTCCTGAAGTGTCATCATGAGATATGACACACATACAGTATGATGCACATGATGACACACATACAGTATGATGCACATGATGACACACATACAGCAGACGATCCCATGGATCCGGAGAATTGACCAACAAGGAAGACAATGTCCTTCTGCAACTGAGTGGGTTATGGTAGTCCTTTGCAGGAGGGTAATCATGATATACTCCAATGATTCATGCTTCCAAGGGTGCCTCGATTCACAGTTTGGCCTCGTTTGCCCCGACCCCAAGCTTTCAGACAAGAAACATCCCGGCGTTTGTGTTTGCTACGTTTCGATCGTGCTCGGCCAGGAGAGTGTTTATGTCTTCACGAACAACCTGCCGATGACCACGAAGAAAGTGATCTACAGAGACAGCTTGCCGAAACCTCTCGCAGGCTGGACCAGTTTTTACGATAAGAACCATGTGCGTCACAACCATGCGGACCACGCTGTTGGGTCTAAACAAACAAGGGGTGTTTTTGGGAACTACACCGAAAACGGCCGGCCGTGTGCGTTTGCCGCGTACCCGGACGGAGCCGCGGGGCTTTCCGAAAAGGCTGTTGAAAAACAATGGTGGCCGCAGATTGCACTGAATTCTTGCTCCTAGTAGCGATGCACTTGTTACTAGTAGCGATGCACTTGTTTCTACTAGCTTCTTGTTACTAGTAGTACAGGCTTCCCACAGTGCATGAACCTTGCAACGAGGCACTCAAGGATGATCAAGAATTCGCCTGACCTGAATCTTATTTGTCCCCAGATAGCTGCAAGCTTTAGGGGTTCTTACTTCTCAATGGTGTGGCGCTGGATCGCCGTTCCGTTTTGCCCGTGCTGGTGCTGGTGCTGGATCGGCGTTTTATTTGGGCGTGCTGGTGCAGGTGCTGGCACGGGTTCTGATGCTGGATCGGCGTTTTCTTGGGGTGTGCTGGTGCAGGTGCTGGTGCGGGTGCTGGTGCTGGCACGGGTGCTGGTGCTGTGTGCTGTGTGCAGCTGCTGGTGCTGGTCCCTGGCATGACATGATGTCATCCCTGGCAAGGTGAGCAATGCCCTTGGCACCGCTCATTGCAACGAACACTATGAGACATTGGGATTTTTCGCTTAGGCACTATGACACTATGAGCTCTTTCCCTGTACACCAGGGTCTATGCCTGTGTAGTTTGATTCTTTTTGGTGACTTGTATCAGTATCAGTCCAATTCACTCCTCGAACGTCCCGTCGGACGTTCGCAGCAAGACGTCGTTCAGTGGGAGCTGGGGGAGGGGATCGGATAGTGAACCAGGAAAATCAACCAACTCCAATGAAGCAGAAGCTGAAGTGATGGATCATCCACGAGCATCCCACACCTCCAACAAAACTACCCTGACATGGAACTGCTTCAGTCATGGTCCACTTTCCTTGAGGTTACGCGTGGAAGGACCTCTTCAGCGCTCAGAAGATCCAGCCAAAGCCTCAAATTTTTTCCGCAGCCACGCAGCCACGAAGAAAGGACAGAGGCAAAGGGGATCCAAATCAACGACAAAATGCTGAGGTTCTGAGTGTGAAATCCATTTTTGGCCCTTTCACTATGATGCTTGTGTGGTTGGAGATGACCATTCGCTGAATATTTTGTCCGAAGGCTTTGCGTGTCAGCAAGAAGCTTCCATCCCTAACTTGGAGAGCGCCCAAAACGGCCTCCTGTCGATTTCGTGGCCGAGGCGGTTGTGCAACGGCGCTGTGGTGGCGCTTGGCTCAAGTAGGTTCAGCCCCATTCCAGCCGAGGGTATGCCAATTTCAGATCCCAGGTTACCAGAAGAGTAACCAATTGCATATCAATCAGCCAGAACATGGCGATTCGAGCGCTGATTCTCCTGTTGGCGAGCGCCAGTGCCAACCATCCGCCCAAGCAACGGGCCTTGCACCCGGGCACCCAAGCAGCGCGGCTGAGCATCTCCGCCACTGGAGAAGCGGCGGCGGAGCGGCCCGAGGTCATGCGTCGAAGCCCTGAAGGAAGGGAACAAGGAGCCAATGTCAGTTTCATAGAGATACAGGAGGCCGAGGTCAAAGAACTACCGGAAGTTGGCAAGGTCCTGGTGAGGATGGATGGTGATTCTCCATGGGTCCTGCTCATGAAGCTGAGTCACAACAAGTTCTGTCATGGAAGCGGCCTGTGGACCGATGGCAATGCACTTAAGCCCGAGAAGATGTTAAACAAAGAAGTCCCAGCTTTTAAGGAGTACGACGCCAAGAGCATCGCATTTCACAAGCTAAAGGGCATCAATGCGGTAAAGCTGCAGACCAACGCAGTGTCCTTCAAGGAGGGGGCCCCAAAAGCCTGGTGGAGGGGGTGGTATGCTGACAGCGAGAATTTGTGGGTTTTGGAGTGGTTTTGACCAGAGCGCAGGATGTCAGTAGATAGGAAAGGAAGCCAGTAGTGGTTGAAGCTAGAGGAAGTTGGTGGTGGATAACTAAGACTACAAGATCATTAAGACTAATGTAATGTTTTTTATTTAAGTATTACGCTTGCTTCTGATTATTTTGCAGCTGCTTCACTTCGTTAACGACCAAATGCACACAGAAGCTTGCTGATCGCAATTGCAACTATGGATTATATATAGTATATTCCATAGTTTAAAATTTAGGATCCATATTCATTCCCAAAATGCGCCATGTTTTATGTATATATATATATCAGTAGCTCCTTTAAATGGAACTCGTCTCACTCCTGTGCCTTTTTAGCAATGTATTTACTCAAACAGTTGAAGTTAATTGCATGCTCATTTTTTTTGCGGATTCAAGAGGAGTCAAAGAGACTCAAACATGTTAAAATCAACATAGTCATACACACACACACACAAGTGGTGTGAAGACATTCATGCAGCATAGAAGGGAAGGGACTTGCATAGAAGGTACTTCATGCAGCAAAAGATAAGCTGTGAAGCTTTGTATGGTGGAACACCGGGAACACGTTTCAATCCGGGCTGTCCATCATTTGATACCCCTATCGCCATAGGGTCAGTCCAGCGCGGCGTTCACAGCAACCAGCCCACAGTTGAAAACAGGGTAACCCTGGACGACAAGTATGATACAAGCATCGTCTGACAAAGGGATCCACTGACAAAAAAAGGAGTCAAAAGAATCAAGCATCACGCAGGTGTTGGCGGGGATGTGATTTTGAGTACGGCAGGGTCACAGAATGCCGTAATCGACAGTGTTTTATGCATCATTGGCATGGGAAGCACAGCTTTTTGTACTACTTTATATGTTGGATCATCTTGGACCAGGACCTATTCCCACTGATGTCTTGCAAAACATGTCCGTCGTAACCGTGACATTCGCCCACCCTTGATCAACGTTTGTTATCAACATCCCACATGGATGTTTGACCATCATAGTCACCGAGCCAGACTTTTTTCAAAGTTATGCCGTTATGCCTCCAAGCCACACTTTCATGGAACTTTCATCATCACAGTCACAAAAAATGCACCCACACTCTTGCCCTGAGAGGAACATACTCTTGTAGAGGTCTCAATGCAATGGGGTCCCAAACGAAAAGTTGGCAAGTGTAAGGGTTGCAGCGAGCATGTCATCGCCTACAGAATCTACGAGAAAGGCTACGCAAAACAGAATCGACATGAGACGCTCGGGGCACCATAAACATGTGCTTCAGCAGCTTGCGAGCACCAGCTTCTTGTGAAAACTGTCATTTGTAGGAGTAGTACTCAGATCAAATCGTTTGGGCCAGTCCTAAGATCCCCAAGGAACACACATATGGGTTTTGAAGGGAATCGTGTTCTTTTAGACAAAGACTTCTCCACTTCTCCTGAACCGAACAGCCTCCAGTTCTGAAGATTCCGACACCATTGTTTACTAAGTTTCTTCTGCATGTTGACATGCAGAAAATGGTTCCTTACAATGTACATGATGCACATTGGAGCTATGCACATGTTTTCATACCAATTATCGGAAAAAAACACTTCCAGCAGTGTAACCTTAACCTGCCTCCCCCTCTTCCCGCCGTGAATTTGACACCTTTCGTTTGAACATTTATACAGACAACTCCCGAAAGCAGACGAGACATTGACGAAATACCTGGCCGGACTCGGGATGTTTTCCGGACACATCCACCAGGTCACCTGGGATGCGAGCGAGCCTTTTAACCGACGGCCTTAAAAGGTTGTTTACAGCGAAGAGCGACCTTTAACATGAAGCGTAGATATGATATAGCTATTCCATTTTCCAGTACACGCATTTTGCCGATTGCTCAGACAGCCCTGCAGATAGCTGCTGCCAAAAAGAGTTGATCAACGGATGCAGTAAAAGGCTTGACAGAGGAAGACAACAGTGGCAGCTCAAAAACGCGGGCTCAGAACCAATTTGTTCGGTTTTCGTTCTGAGTTCACAAATTTTGGCTGACCGGCCAAGGGATTTCTAGAGGTTCGGCCTCAGGACGCACCAGAGGTACACTTCAAGCAGGAGGACACCGCAGAGACTTTGATGACGACCAACAAGGTGGATATCCTTCCCACAGGCGGATTCAACTCCCAGGACTATTGGAAGAAGTGGGAGAACGCCTTCGGGAATGCGCGCGACCGTGCGCCGGCCTTCATGCGTGCGGGGAAGTTTGTGACGAATCCCAAGCCCCAGTGCCGCAAAAACCCGGCGAGCCACCCTTCGGGCTGCGGCAAGCTGTGTGTCTTTTGCATGCAAGCGGGAGATGGCCATGGCTGCCCGGTGAATTCGGCGCATAATGACATCAGTAGCGGCTTGGGTCTCAGCTCGGCCTTCTGCGGTGGTGGTGCGGCAGACAAATGCAGCACCAGTGGCATTTGGTCCGGCACTCGGAGCACTTTGGTTTGGGGACGCCTCAAGGAGCTTCCCAAAAAAGAAGAGGAGAAATCAAGCACCTTGAGCATCAGCTATGGCATAGCGAGCTTGCTGGGATGCATGCAGTTCCTCTTGCACTGAGGGAGGGTCGGTCCTAGTCGGTCCTAGGGTCCAAACGGGCCAGCTTTGGAGAGTCCATCAAATGGAGTGCTTCATCGGCTCCAGCTCGTGATCCAAAGAAAAATAACCAAACGCGAAAGCCTTTTCACCCCAAAGAGGGTTGAGTGGCCAAGGCCACTATGCTTGTGTGGACCAGAGATGACCATTTGTTGAATATTTTGTCCAGAGGCTTTGCGTGTCAAAGCCTCCACTATCCCTCCCGTCGATGTCGTGGCCGAGGCGGTTGTCCAACGGCGCTGTGGTGGCGCATTCTTCGAAACCGTTGGTCCTGGCCACTGGGACGATGGCCGAATCCGTTGCGACAGCGCGACAGCTCGGTGCGCCGTTGGCCGTCGGTGCCGTTTTGGGGAGGGTGACGGGATGAAGAGGTTTCGGGAGAGTTGGTAGTTCGGCGAGTCGAAATTGATTAAACAACATCGACAAGTTGGTCCATGGATTGCTTGTATCATTTGGGACCCTTTTGCCAAGCAATCACAGAGACACGTTCAGAGCATGGGGAAAGCTGTCTGAAGGGAGGCATGCCCTGGCCCTAGTATAGCCGTGTACAATCATATTCAACGCTGTTATCCACCGGGTAGTTTCCACACGTTTCACTCAAGTTCTAAGACATGACATTGTGCTATCAGCGCTGAAGCTGTGCTTGATGCGCGCGGTCAGTGCTGTCACAGCTGAGGTCATGAAGCCTTCAAAGGCCAGATGCGAAACAGAAACACTCAAGGGGCCGCGCTGGGCATGATGTATTTTTGGGAAGACATAGAGGAGTTCATTTACCATCATTTTATGTTATCAGTTATCAATTATGGATGTTTACTTGGGGGTTTTCCTTCGAATCAATCCTTTGCGGGTCCAGGACCCGCTTTTTCTGGGCCTTTCAATTCCGTTGGACGGACGGACGGGTTCGACGCGTTGGTTGTTTTGGACGGTCCCCTTGGGGATGATGTCGTGCGCACTCCTGTGTTCTTTTTTTTCCATGATCCCTGCAGGGAAATGAGGGGGAGAGTCAGAGTGTTCATCTAAAGTTTGGCACCGTAAACCAGGTGTTCAACCTCCCAAAGGTCCAAACTGGTGCGTGATATGTGGGCGTCTGCTGCTTGGCCGCTGCTCTTCGCTGAGGCGGCCACATTGGCCCAGCAGATCACCTCTTGAGCGCGTCTAGTGGCGCGTCTGGACGGCGGAGGATGGTCGAAATTCGATCTTTGGTTACCCAAGTGTTCGAGAAGTTCCATGAAATTCCAATAATTAGACTCGAGTCCTCTAGCTTTATTCTTCATCACAGGTGGATGGTGTGTGCTGCCGTGGTGATGAAGAAAAAGCAACCTGTGGTCTCGCTAGTTCAACTTGAGTCCATATAGGTAGCCGATTGGACTCCCAGAGGGTCAAATCGTTGGCAGCCGCCCGGTTTCGCTTCGCCTTTTTGGGTGAGGCCGACTGGTGGAAAGTGGCCGCCCGACTCGTGGATTTGTGTGGTCTTTCTTCTCGGGTCTGTCCTATATATATCTGTAACAGTCAGTAAACAATTTCTTTATCTATCTAATTCATACTATTTTAAGAAAACCACCCTCGGTTAGAACCATGGTTTATAACATGTGAGAGATAGCGTTGGCTACCAGCTTTTCCCTTTGCTTGGTAGCTTTGGAAATTGATGCTGTGTGTAAGCATTGCATTGCAGTTTGCAATAGCATTCTGGAATAGCAGTGGCAACAATGCCATACCGTTACACGAAACCTTAAGTGAAAGCACTGCTGTATAGACATCAGAGACGGAAGTCAAACACAAACTTCGTTTGGCTCAAGTGTGAGAGGAAACTCGTGCGGCAGCCTGGGTCCGATCGCTCGTTGCATCGTATCGTGACTTTTGCTGTACATTGCTCACATTTGGAAGCACATATACACAGATCTAAGAATCTACTGGTTATCAGCCGCAGCCGAGACACCCTGAGCTGCGGGATCGTGTGAACAGAGAGAGAGAGACCAGAGAGTGCACTGAGAGTTCAACTCATTGTCTTGTAAGTCAAGGGTCGAGTCACAAGGTCCAAGGACATAGTTGTTTGATTGATCAAGACCAAGTACAACTACACCTTTTGCTCCCTTGCTCGCGCCTTGGCGCGAATGGACCGCTCGCGATCTCCCGCAGCGGCTGCCGATCGATCACGACCCCGTGAGAGACGGGCTAGGGGCGGTGACCCTTACCGCCCTTCTCAGAGAAAGCGTGAGCGTGCTGGACTTCAGGTGGAGCATCTGACCAGAGGTTCTTCGCCCCCGCCAGAGTCGAAATACTACACTCGTTCAAGGCCAGTTGAACCGTCGGGTCCACCTCCAGATCGTCGGCGACCGCGTGAGCCGGCGAACCCGCCTTCTGTTGAGAGCTCCTCAAGCCCAAGACGACATCCAAGAGTGCCACACGGGCCACCACCTGGAGTCACAGAAACTGTGTCTCACAGAGGTCTCCCAAGGCGTGTTGTTGTTGAGGAGCGTGAGGAGGCCGAGCACGAGGAGTCGGAGGAATTTGAGGAAGGAGCAGGATCAGCCCCTTCGTCGGGCCCTCCAGTCACGGACCCGCCGACGCGGGGCGGCTACTGGAAGAAAGCGTGGGTGTGGATTCCGGATCCTGACCCAAGAGATCTTGCCGGACCCGAGCATTGGAGGCCCGTTGACTCTCCTCCTGAAGTTGTATCGCGTGTTTCTCCATCGGTTGAGCGTGTTGGTTGTGAGACGGAGGAGAGAGAGGAAGCCCTGAGTGCCACAGGTCGGAACGAAGCGTCCGAGTTGATCGAGGTCAAGATCGAGGAGGAGCCGGACTACGAGGAGCAGAAAGAAGAAGAACCGGCTGCAGAGGCCACAGAGCCGGCAGACACGCCGGAAGCAGAGGCGACAGAGATCGCGGAGGAGGAATCCACGCCGGAATCCCGCCGGAAGGCAAGAAGGCTTCTCCGGGAAGGAGCTAAGCACTTGAGAGAGCAGGCCAAGGAACTCAGGAGCACGAGATCGAAGCCGTCGTCAACTACCTCGCCACCGGAAACGTCTCTATCGCCTCAAACCGAGGCAAGAACATTGGCCGTTGCAAAATCGAAGAGTCGACGGGAGGCGGAAGAGGAGGCCGAAGCAGAACGACGAAGGCAGAAACTCGAAGCTTTGCCTAGGCCGCCGTTGCCACCGGTCCGCCCCCGTCCTTTGCCTGTGGACCTCAGATCAGCATCGGTACCTCGCCCATCGACCGAGCAGTTGGCCATTGCAGACGCATCGGAGAGCCGTCCGAAGCTCACGCAAGAGGTCAAACCTGTTAGACTCCAACCGCGTCCCAAGGGTTCACCTGGGGTGCGTGTGCCGACGACTCCAAGGCCTCCGTCACCGTTGCCATCGTCATCTGCATCCCACCGGGAGCCACATAGAGAAGTTGAACGGTCGTTGGCCAGTCGAGGGGGAGAACTTCCGCCGCCGTTGGACCCAACCTACGGAACTGTGCCTGTGATAGCACTTGACTATCACAAGACATTGAGGTTCCCACGTCAGCCCTTGTCTGCTGCAAGCATTGCGTGCCTCCGTGAGGCAAGGTCCCTTGGGTTCCATTTGATTGTTGTGTCATTCGCATCAAACATCAAGACCCAGAGGGAAACGTTGGAAGATCTCACGAGGATCGAGGAAGAGGCGGGCATTGTTTTTGCGGACAAGATTATCACCCGTCAGAAGCTGCTGGCGGACGAGTTCCACGGAAAGTCGGTGACGGGACACTTCCATTCCAAAGCAAAGTTGATAGCATTGAGCGGCGCAATCATCTACATCGACGACCAGCCCCAGATTTTGCGTGAGGTGCAGCAAGTGCAGGCTCGTCGGGCGCGTGCGCACCGCACGAAGACCATCAAGGCTGGAACTACGCCTCACGACGCGTTGAGCGAACTGCACGAATTGATCCAAGAATTGGGGAAAGACATGAGATCGGTACCAGTTGCCGAAGACTTGAAGGATCTCTGAGTTGAATAAGGTGCATCTTGCATCTCATTGATCGACTGAGCATTGTGTTGAAAGGGATTGTTGCGATCTTGTTGATCGTTGGTCTATTTGTTACAGATTGACTTGAGTTGCTTCGCGCCGTGCGCGATCGTCGCAAATTCGCTGCCTTGTGCGCGTGACGAGCTTGAAATTCGCGGACTTCGCTCCGCGTGTGGCGACAAAAGAGCGTTTGTGACAGAGACTTCAGTTACTTGTGAAACATCTTGTTCTCGTTTATAATTTTGTTGTTGACATTGCTTGGTTGGTCGTGAGAAGAGTCATATTGCATACATTGAAGATTGCTTGAAGTTGTGTGAATGAAGAGGATCACTCCAGCCACACCTTTTCGAGTTATAGGCCCTGGCGATAGCGCTTACACCACCTCATCATCCTCGCCTCCCCAGGATTCGCCCGACAAGAGCATGGAGAATCCAGACCAGTCGAGTTCAAGCAACTTGGCATTGCCGGGAGGACAGATAGTTCAAAAGGGACGGGGTCGGTCCAGTGCTATCCCTGTGGTAGAAGAACCCCCAGAGCATGGTGAACCCCGACAAGGGCCAGAGGTGCATTTGCATGATCAACGTACTTTGAATGTACTAAATCAGAGCAACATCCCACCTCACATCCTTGAACAGCTTGTCCATGACTATGTCAAGGCTGAGAGAGAGAAGGTTGCCATGCAGGTGTCGGTTGAGAGACAGCAATATACACAACAACTCCAGCAGCAGTACCACACTTCCATTCAACAGCAGCAAGAGGCAATATCGTCGGAAGCCCAGCAAAGGGTATCGCAAGTAACTCGGGAAGCCCCGCAAGAGGTGCTCAGACAACAGCATTTGGCGGAACAGGCCCAAAGGGACCTGATCATCGCTCAAGACTCTGCACAAGCGCATGCGCGAGCAATAGAACAAGCCACACATATGGCTGAGCAAGCAAATAGAGAAGTGCAAAGAGTCCGCGAACAAGCAGCAATGC